TGTGCTTGAGATCAACCACTCTCACTGGCAGAGTGGTGATAAAACAAGACACTCTCCGCTTGTTAAGTCGTGATGTATGGAATACTGTTTCCAGGTCCAAGCTGCTACTTGGTTGAATTGGGAAAATATTTGTTTATGGTTTTTAGTCATATCCCACATTAAAGGGACTTTCTGCATAACAGACACCAAAAATGTATTAAAAATGTATCACTTTCTGGCCATCGGAAATTAGGCATGGATATGTATATTGGGAACGTGATTTTTGTAAGTTTTACATTGCTTTGTAAACGTTTATTATTAGCATTTGATGAGTTTCCCCAGTTTAAAAGAGTGATTGGACCTGGAAGCCGATTCGCATGATGTCTCACTTAACAAGCTGATTGGCTGTTTATTTATTTTTTTTTTGAAGGGGAGGAGCTACACTAAGTCCCACAATTTCTTCATGTTTTGGTAGAGATTACGTCAAACATCGAATAAAATTGCCCAGTTCACAGCACTTCATGAGACCTTTATGGGAACTTTTGGTTAGTTCACACAAAAATTCAAATTATGTTATCAATTACTCACCCTGGCATTGTTCCAAATCCCTTGAGGTCTTCGTTTATCTTCAGAACACGAATTACAATATTTTAGATAAAACCCGAGAGCTCTCTTAGGGCCAATCACACCTAAATCATTTTTCTGTTCTGAAAACACAAGGTGCACCACACTGCCTTTTTTGTTGACAAGAAAAAAAGAAGTACGCTGGGCTTTTTATGCCACGAGGCAACCACTGAATCAGCAGTGTATTATCATGAAAATAATGTGTGTTAGTAGACTAAAGGCTGGTTTATACTTCTGCATCGAGTGATTGGCGTGACCCACTGTGCCTGTCTTGCGTGTAATCGTGCATTTATACTTCTGCGTGATGTTCGTGTTGCTCTGCAATAACTCTTCAGAAACGCCAGCTGGCAGTTTATGTTCCTCTGTGTCTAGGTTTATATATATATATTTATATATATAGTTGAAGTCACAATTATTAGCCCCCCTGAATTATTAGCCCTCCTGTTTATTTTTACCCCGTTAAACAGTTAAAATTCTGTTTAACAAAGAGAAGATTTTGAAAAAATTTTCAACACATTTCTAAACATAATAGTTTTAATAACTCATTTCTAATAACTGATTTATTTTATCTTTGCCATGATGACAGTAAATAATATTTGACTTGATATTTTTCACAACGCTTCTATACAGCTTAAAGTGACATTTAAAGGCTTAACTAGGCTAATTAGTTTAAATAGGCAGGTTAGGGTAATTAGGCAAGTTATTGTATAATGATGGTTTGTTCTGTAGATTATCGAGAAAAAAAAAATTGCTTAAAGGGGCTAATAATTGACCTAAAAATGGTGTTTAAAAAATTAAAAATGGCTTTTATTCTAGCCGAAATAAAACAAATAAAAATTTCTCCATAAGGAAAAATATTATCTGACATACTGTAAAAATTTCCTTGCTCTGTTAAACATAATTTGTGAAATATTTAAAAAACAAAAGAAAATTCAAAGGCAAGGCCTTTTAAATATTTAGCAAGGGCATTTATTAGTTTTATAAAACCAATACAATTATATCACACTGAAAAAAAAGCGATTTATTGGATTTATTACATTTTTTTAGATAAAATGTTGCAAACAATGTACAGTATATGGGCTGAATTTAAATTAAAAGAAGTTGAACATTACTAAATTGAATTTGTTTAAATTCAGCTCATATTAATTGTTTGCAACCCTTTTTTTTCCAAGAGTTCACACTTAGCTGATGATTAATTATAAAAGCTTGTTTGGCATGCTATCACGGGAGAGAGCCCTGAGCTCATGAGATCCTTGAGCCCAGGGCTCCCTCCCGTTGCAAGGCGGGAGGGGAGTTTGAGCTCAGGTAGATCTCGAGAACTCCCCTGCTGTAGTAACCAATGAACAGTAAGTGATTGCTCTTGAAGATAAATACGTACTAGAAGCATATCTATGGTGCCAATTTAGATTATTCAGTTAACTTAATTGCATGTTTTTAGGCGGTGGGAGGAAACCGGGGAACCCGGGGGAAACCCACGTGAGCACGGGGAGAAGTGCAAACTCCACACAGAAATGTCTGCTGGTTTGGTAAACCCTGGAACCAGAGACATTCTTGCTGTGAGGTCACAACCCGTGTGTGTTTGTATCAACCCTAGTGAGATCTAAGAAGGAGGAGGAGCAGGGGTGGAAGGGGGGGCTCTTCAAAACGAAGATAGCAGTGGAATGAAACCCAGGGTATTTATATTAGTTTAGGAGTCATCTGATTGGAGCGTAGTGAATTGAATAATGCGGATCCAGCCGCTAGCAATCATAAGCACCTGATCCTCTCAAAATTTGTTTATACATAAACTACACTTAAAAAAAATCAGATTAACCCTTTTTCAGTCTACTTATCAAATGGTGGAGAACAGAACAATCTCATTTTTCCCCATCTAAAAAAAGATTCATTGGACTTATTAAACTTTTTAAGGTTAGTGGTTGCAAAACAATTTATATGGGCTGAATCTAAACAAACAAATTAAAATGTAATGTTCTACTTCATTTGTTTCTTTAAATTCAGCATGTATAAATGCAATTACCTCAAAACAATTGAGTTAATCCAATTTATAATATTTTTTTGTGTAAAAAAAAAAAGCAAAGTATTGTCCCAGGATGCAGGTTTGTTTGTCAACACTGACTCTGAGGATGAACTGGGTTTAATTGCGCAGCTCTTCAGCCGAAACCCTTGAGCTTTGATTGAAATGAGCTGTAATTGGCACATCTGTGAGCCTCTGAAGAGCCGCCAGCTTCTGCTAATTGGTACAAACAGGTAACAGACGCTCTGCATCTGCCCATTACAGACGCAAACCTAATGAAAACGCAACGATTAAACGCAAACCGGAGCTTAAAATGCGCTATAACGCTTCCTAATAGGGCTTAACTGCAAAGGCTCCGTCGGCTGCTGATAATGGAGTGTTTTTAGGTGTAAAGAACAGCGAAGGAAAACGGGTTCGAGTGTTTCGCTCATGTGGATTGCGCAGATGTCTGTGAGATTTATTTAGGTACATAACAGATAGGCCTACTAAGTTCGTTCACTTGTTTTTGCAGTCACAGATCACGCATGGTGTAATGTATACTGTGCTCAAATCAACATCTTGAATATGTAAAATATAAATGTTATGCAAGTTACTTTAGGGGTAAAGGTTATTTTGAGGAATGATTATAAAGCGATGTGTAATATTATTATAATTATATTACACACAAAACACATTTTTATTTTAAATGTAAATATTAATGAAATAACATTGATAATAAACCAATATTTTATTATTATTCTTAATAGAAATATCCATATAGCTCAAGAAATTTCCTTATTACATACAAAAATACACACATTTGTAATGTAAATGTAAAATGTCTAATATAAATATATATTAATGTGACATAAATATATGTAATCATTTAATCAATATATCATTATTACAATATTAATGCACTTAATTAATATAACATATTTAATTAATAGTAAAAAATATTTAAATGGTTATTTATTTTTATAAATACAGAATGGTTAGTCATTTTTAATATCTTAAACTAAAATATTATTTCAGTTTCAAGTTAATGAAAATTTGCTAAAAACTTTTCATTTAACCTAATATATAAAGTATTAACTTTGTTTATTTAGACCAAATTAAATTATGGTTTTAATTTACTTTAATTAAAAAATTATAATAATTTTATTTAGTTAATTTTAATTTATTTTTTTAAATGTATGGTTTGAATGTTCTTAAACATTTAACGCTTATATTAGATAAAATGAAAGATCACAATATACACTCACGGCCACTTTATTAGGTACACCTTACTAGTACCAGGTTGGACCTTTTTTTTGCCATCAGAACTACCTTAATCCTTCGTGGCAAAGATTTAACAAGGTACTGGACATATTCTTGAGAGATTTTGTTCTGTATCGACATGATAGCATCACGCAGCTGCTGCAGATTTGTCAGCTGGACATCCATGATGTGAATCTCCTGTCTGAAACCAGTTTGAGATGATTTGCGCTTTATGACATGGTTGTATCCTGCTGGAAGTAGCCATCAGAAGATGGGTACACTGTGGTCATAAAGGGATGGACATGGTCAGCAATAATACTCAGGTAGGCTTTGGTGTTGACACGATGCCCAGTTGGTACTAATGGTCCCAAAGTGTGCCAAGAAAACATCCCCCACACCCCTACACCACCACCACCAGCCTTGACCGTTGATCCAAGGCAGAGTGGATCCATGGTTTCATGTTGTTAATGCCAAATTCTGACCCGACCATCCGCAGCAGAAATTGAGACTCATTAGGAATTAGACCAGGCAACTCTTTTCCAGTCTTCTATTGTTTAATTTTGGTGAGCCTGTGCGAATTGTAGCCTCAGTTTCCTGTTCTTAGCTGACAGGAGCGGCACCCGGTGTGGTCTTCTGCTGTTGTAGCCCATCCGCGTCAAAGTTGGATGTGTTGTGTGTTCAGAGATGCTGTTCTGCAGACCTCGGGTGTAACGAGTGCTTATTTGTAACGAGTGCTGCCACTCAACTGGATATTTTCTCTTTTTCAGACCATTCTCTGTAAACCCTAGAGATGGTTGTGCGTGAAAATTCCAGTAGATCAGCAGTTTCTGAAATACTCAGACCAGCCCGTCTGGCACCAACAACTATGCCATGTTCAAAGTCACTTAAATCACCTTTTTTCCCCATTCTGATGCTTGTTTTAAACTGCAGCAGATCGTCTTGACCATGTTTGCATGCCTAAATGCACTGAGTTGCTGCCATGTGATTGGCTAATTAGAAATTTGTGTTAACGAGCAGTTAGACGTTTGCCTAATAAAGTGGCCGGTGAGTATACATACATAATATTGCCATAAAAAAACTTTAATAATTATTGTATCAGCAAATGATCATTATTCAGTAAAATTCAAAGACATGAAACATGAACTATAGTTATGAAAAAATCATTTAATGTGTAAAAAATGATTTAACAAACGCACAAAAATGACATTCAGTCAGAAGACCAAAAATATTCACTTTCATTCAATTTACAAACAAAAGAACTTGTGTAAATAGTTGTAAAATAAATGCACTGTTTCACTGTTGATGTCGAATACTGTAATAATGTAAATCTCCACTGAAATTAGAAAACATGAATATATCAGGGACAAAACTCCATCATCAGGTACACACTTTTACATTTTTTCATTAGTTCTTATACACAAAACATACTTTTAAGAAAATAAAAAAGTGCAAATTGTAGTATACTGTGCCATTCTCTTTATTTATGGCACTGGTGCAAATAAATAGCTCGTAGATTCATATGAAAACATTTACATTAAAATACAGAGTAAAATCACCAAGACCAAGGTCAAGTCAACAGTCCTGTACACGCCATTTTCTTGAGGCATCTGCTCTTCTCTTATATTCAAAAGGCTAATATTTCTGAAAAAAATTATAATAAAAAATAAAATCAAATAAAATAGGAGTTTTTCTGCCATGCACAACAACAATATTAAATGATGAAATAATAATTGAAAATTCATAAAATAAATAAAAAATGAAACGTTCAAAATAAAAATAATAATATTTACTACTACTACAAATAACAATAATAATAAATCGATTAATTATTACTACTACTATTTAACAATTTATTTTCTGCCATGCATAATATAATATGATAATAATAATAATAATAATAATACTGATGATGATAATGATAATAATAATAATAGTAATAATAGTAGTAGTAGTAGTAATAAATCAATTAATTAATTATTATTACTACTATTAATTTATTTTCTGCCATGCATATTAACAATAATAATTATTATTCTTATAATAATAATAATAACAATAATAATTATTATTATTTATTTGCTGCCGTGCACAAACATAAGCAAAAATGCATAATTAATAAAAAAATATCATAACAATTCTACTACTAATTAAAATTATTTTGTTTGATATGCCTAATAATAATAATAATAATAATAATTATTATAATTATAACAACAACAACAAGTAATATTACTACTAATAATATTGAAAATAATATAATAATATAAAATTTCATAGTTAATATTAGTCATAGATAATATCAAAGAAATTCTGTCATGCATAATAATAATAATAATAATATACAATAAAATAATAAAAAGTGTATTTGTTGCCAAGCACAAACATAAGTGAAAATGCATAATTAAAGAAATATCATATTATTACTTTATAATACTACTACTAATAATAAAAATGTATTTTGTTTTCCATGGATAATAATAGTAATAATAATAATAATAATAATAATAATAATAATAATAATAATGAAATGTTATAATATTACTACTACTAATAATAAATAAATATTGTTTTCTGCTTTTCATAATAATAAAAATTGGAAATTCATAATTAATTGAAAATGTACATATTAACTATTTGTTTTCATGCATAAAAATAATAACAAAAAGTAAAAACTTTTATTCATTTGCTGCCATGCACAAAAAAATGAATAATAAATTAATAATTAATAAATTAATAAAACAAATACTATTAACAACAATTTTCTGCCATGTATATTATGTAATTATATATAATTATTATACAAATACATATAATAATCATAAAAAAATCTTATTTAATAATTACTACTATTACTTCAATAATGTATTTTCTATCATCCATAAT